AAAAGGAGATACATTCTTTGCCAAAATATGACAAGAATAGTCTCTAGGCCATTTCCCAATGTTTTCCCACTTCTGAAATTTCTTGATCTTGGTCTCTATAGTTTAAATCACCCACAGCACTGTCTTCTAAGAACTTACTAGGAGAGCCCATTAAGTCCCATTCTAAGTTTCTGATCTTCTTTCTAGTCCAAAGTCCCAAAGTCTTCCATAGTCCTCTAACAAATAACATGGTCAGGCCTATCACGGCAATATTCAATCCTAGAAAGGGTTACTATTGTTATGATGAAACATCATGACCAAAGGCAATTTGGGGAGCAAAGGGTCTGTTTGGCTTACACTTCCACATTACTACTCATCATCAAAGAAAGTCAGGACAGAAACCTGGAGGCAGAAGCTGATGCAGAAGCCATAGTTCTCTGAAAATTTGTCTGTTGCATTTCTATCTCTGAAAAACATTCTGTTCAATAACTCCTTTTATACATTTTCATCTTGTAAATACCGTGGTTCCACACCTAAAGCTTATAATCATCATTCCCAGTATATTATATAAAGTATTTTATAAAGTATAATTCCTGGCACAAACTAGACACGCAATAAATGATATCAGGAACATTACCATTACTGCTATTTTATGTTATTGTTAGAATTAAGGCAGTTAGGGAAAAAGAAAATTGGAGATGCTAAAATTGTGACTTTCCTTATAAATTCATGTTATTTATCACTGATTGTAAACCATGATTAAGTACTTTCTTAGTTTCGGTAAGCCAACTGATGCTCTTCTTTTTTCTGTACCAATGAAGAGGCTAGCAGGTGAAGCTCCACCCTCTTGATCATCTTTTTGCTTCTCTTTCCTTGAGTGCAGGCAGAGCTTGTGACTATGATGGACAGCACTCGGGATATTGCAGCAGGAGAGTCATCATGGGTTTTAAGTTTGTGAGTTCACACACACACAAACACACTCAGGAGTTGACAAACGGTCAGAGAATGAGAGAAAATAGTATTTTTGCGTGGGCCTGGCTTTAAAAGAAGTTAACAAGTCAAAAGATCAGAAAGATACCTGCAAAATAAGGGGAAGAACACAACATCATGAAAGACTTGTCATTTGCCCTTACCTTTGGCAGAAAATCATAGGACTACCTGTGGTGTCTAACAGCTAATAAAAGCCCATTCCGGCCTCTAGTTTCCCTCAGGATTACAAGTACCTGTTATACATTTCAAAGTCCACACTACTCCTGGCCCTTCCCTTTCCACAGCTATTTCTCCTCCTTATAACCCACATTTGTCCACTGAAGCATGCTTTATCTTGCTAATTTTCCTTCTCTCCCTTTCCCTTCCCTCTCTCTCCTCCTCCCCTTCTCCATCGTCTCTACATTCTCCTCCCCTCCCACTCTCCCTCCTTCTCATTGTGATTCCCCCTCTTGTTCTCTCACTATGTTCTGTGACTCAACTAATTGTATGTATAAATATACATACAATGTGGTGTATTCCTAAATATATAGATATAACATATGTATTATATACATATATACAAATGCGTGCTTGTGTGTATGTGTGCGGCTTGAATAGAAATGGCCCAATTGGAAAATAGGGAGTGGCACTATTAGAAGGTGTGATCTTGTTGGAGGAAGTGTGTCATGTCACTGGGGGGTGGGCTTGATATCTCAAGCCATGCCTAGTGAGTGGCTCAATGTCTCTTCCTGCTGGCTGCAGACCTAGGGTCTAGATGAAGAACTCTCAGCTGCCTCTCTAGTATTATGTTTCACTGCATATTGCCATGCTTCCCACTGTGATGATAATGTACTAAATCTCTGAACTGTAGGCCAGCCCCAATTGAATGTTTCCTTTTATTAGTGTTGCCATGGTCATGGTCACAGCAATAAAACCCTAACTAACATTATTAAGACATACACACACACACACACACACACACACACACACCCCACACTGTGTGTGTGTAAACAATTAAAGAAAAAGAGTTCATGAATTTGAGAGAAGGCACAGAGAGGGATATGTGGGAAGGGTTGAAGGGGAAAAAGGGAAGGAATAGCGGAATTACAATTTCAGAAATAAAAACTACTTCCAAGAAGAAAAAAGAATTAAATGAGCTGAGCATAACGAAGAATGAAAACTCATATTGCCCTCCATGGCAAGAGCAGACTTTCATTGCTCTGAGAGTTTGGATCTCAAGACCCAGTGGCCAGGGTATAAGAGAATGCATGGTTCCGTCTGAGAGGGATTTTGCAACTGACAGTAGGGAGGGGTAAGAGCATAGCTTTTCCAGTCCCAGGAACTGTGGTTTTATTTTTATTTATTTTTGACAAACAGCTTTTCAAAACTGTGAGTTGGGAGATAAGTCTGATTGCCAGTTTTTGTAGCCTCTGGGCTCCAGGATATGTGTGAGGTGAGCTGCGTTAGACTTCCTAGAGCCTTGGGCCTGTTTAACGGCTCTGGTTTGGAAGGAGGGGTATTCCTTTAAGATTCCTCATGTATGCTGTGTAATGTGGGTGCTGGGAACCAAACTCTGTTCTTCTGAAAGAACAGCAAGCACTCTCAGTCATTGAGCCATCTCTGCATCCTGGGATCCCTCATTTTGATGTTATTAAAACTTAGCAGCATTCAGAGCATTAACTTGTGATACGGGGAGAATGGGTTACCATTTGCTATTTTGCATATTTATGGTTTATAGGATGTAATTGCATGTGGAGGCACACAAAATAAGGTGAAAGAAAAAAGGAAATACCCTTCTTGTGTGGTGGTTTGAATGAGGATGGCCCCTATAGGATCAGAGATTTGAATCCTGGGTCACCAGAGAGGGGCACTATTTGAAAGGACTGGGCAGTTGGTCTTGCTGAAGGAGGTGTGGCCTTGTGGTAGGAGGTGTGGCCTTGTGGTAGGAGGT